AGATAAAGTAACTTGTGCGGACTGAGTCTCAGTCACTTGACTCTCAGGTACACCTGCTCAACCTTTCAGAGGTCTCACTCATAACGAAAGGATGAAAATTGCAATATGAGAAATATCAATGCATATTTTGATTGCATTACTAAGGGATTTCCATTTTACACAACAGAAAAAGACAGGAAATCTTCTATCATTTATGGCAGATTATGGCAGATTATTTATGGAGGATAGAATTCTCAAAAATCTGGCTTTCTGCTTTATAAAATTATCTCCAAATGCAATAATCATATATAAATCCTCTACTTCGTATTGCTACTCATAATGGCCTTTTTGATAAATATTTTCTTCTATCACCAAAAACCCCTGAATAACCTATTTTGATTTATTTGCTGAAAAATCAGTGTAAAATAGCAAGAATACTGTATTCTCGTGAGGCCATAAAATACAGATATGTGACAAGAAAGTTAGTTGTAAAGGCAGAGTTCAGAAACTACATACATGAGCTATTTTTGCACTTTATTTTAGTTTTAATCATCTTTTGTTTCCTTGGATTTTGATCTCAAAATTGGATTCTTCTTCACTGGAGACCTTGAACATGGCAAAGTTGCAAAGGTGTGCAGAATTCCAAAATTGTAAAATGCAGTAAAAATTAAAATCTGTAAACCAAGAGTTTAAAATTTAGTAAATCACCCTCTGGGTCTCTGAGCGTTTATGCTTAGGATGGACATGTGGGGAGATTCAAGATTTCAAGCAAGAGTTTAGTATCAGAATTGTCCTCTTTACACTAAAACCATATTCTGAGAGTTCTGACCCGGGGGATCTAAATTTATAGCTTTCTTTTAAAATACTGATTGTATTGCAAAATATACAAATAAACAGACTCCAGGGAGGCAAAAAGCATTCCCTCCCTTCCTCCCAAATCCGCTTCCTTTACACGTCTCTGCTACGGTGGCTGCAAGCCAATTCCTGTGGCAAGACGTTTAAAAACAAGTGTGTGGCTCCGTATTGATTGGTAACGTGAAATTCGGCTCCATGAAGTCTGGAGAATGAATCGGGAGTGAAAGCTGTTACCTGCCTGACTTCAATGTATCTTTGTTTGCTTGCCACAGGAAAAACAATTTAATAACAGGCAGTTTACAGTCTCGATTATAGTGGACTGATGAGGCCCCCTCTTGATGTGCTGGCAGAACTCAGCCAACAGATGGGTAGTTGTATTTATTAATTTTTTATAAAAGTTAGCTTTCAATGGCCCATTTGTGATTGAATCCAGAATTCCATAGTCTCTACTACTGACCTCTCTTACAGCCGGCAGCCCTAAATTTTGCCAAGATTTTCTGGCTGTGTCTATAAGACACCAACATGAACAGATGGAATATGCAATACACTACAGTTATTTTTTTGTGTGTGTAACAATTCTCATGTTAATTTTCTGAGCTACCCAACCAATTTAACACAAATAGGGGGTGAACATAGACACAATGGGTAAGTGAAATATTGCACTGTGTAGTATGTCTGTGTGAAGGATTCTTTTTATATAGGCTCCATTGGGAAAAATGACTTGCTTGTATTAACTTGTAAGATCTACAACAGAGAGTAATAGTCCTCCCACTTAACTTGAAATTCCAGTATTAAGTTTAGTTGGAATAAGCAGGTTTATCAATGATTAATAAGATCACAATAATTAACAGTATCAATTTATACATCATCTAATACAATGTATTAGGCATTTACTACTGCCATAGGTCATTGTTGTTTATGTTCATATGTTTCTATTAAATTCAGAATGTGGCTGACTTTCTTGATGCTAATAGAGAAAAGCCATTTGTCTTAAGTGGGGGAACTTTGAAAGAAATTAGGGTCATCTTAAGCCATTTTGTTTCTTTGTTTTGATAATTTTTCATCCTAGTCAAAAGAGACAATGGCTATTTCTGATTCAGTGAAGAATTATTATTATTATTATTCTATTATTCTATGGAATAATAATAAATTATTATTCTGATAATCTAATTTGTACCAGGATTTAGGAGCATTTTTACACCACAATAGAAAATGAAATAGAAGCAAGGCAAAAAACAGGAACCTTCAAAAACCTCCCCCTTTGGTTTCCAAGAGCCTCGTGGCCCAGGCCCCTCACCAGCCTCTCCTCTCTGCATCTCTGTGACTCAACAGAGAGTTCTGGCTTCCTGCCCTTTCTTTCACACCGGCAGCATCCACATTTTAATACCAGCCTCTGGTGCTACTTACATTTTGCTGCCTTTTAAATGCCTTTTCATATTTTAAAAAAATGGAAGAAGAGAAAAGGTTGAGGAAGATATAATTACTTTCCACCTTTCCATGCCACCGCCTCCTTACCCCTCTACCCCAAGAAGAAAAACAGTTCAGATGCTTAGGATCGACATGGATTTTTAGCCTACATGTGATTCTGATTTTTCTACTCTGATTTGGGCCAGTGATAAGACATCTTTGTCTCCTCTGGGATCCAAGGAGGAAAGCTTTACTTATCTCTCCCAGAAATATAATGCTTGCTGTGTGTTATTTTTTAAATCCAATTAATGAAATTGCCTTTCATTCCCAGTTCAGTAAGTAGCTTTGAATAGATGTTGAATTTTGTCAAATGCATTTTCTGTAGCCATTGAAATGATAACATAATTTTATTCTATTCCTACATTAGTATGGTGAATTACTTTGGTCTCTGAATGTAAGTGCCCATCTGGAATAAATATTTTTAGTGATGACTTCTTTTTTATCCCCATTATTAGTAATTTTTACCTTTCTAACAAAATTTGTCAGTCAGTGTGTATTTAGCACTTGTGTAAGTCTTTTAAAAGAAACAAAATTTGGATTTGTTAATATATTCTGCAGAACATCCTTTTCTTTCCATTTCTGTTTGCTTTTATATTTATTATTTCCTTTGTCTGCTTTCTGCAGGTTTAATTTGCTCTCCTTTGTCAGGAGTCTTAAAATGGATACTTAGGCCAATGAAAATAATTCTTAGCCTTGCTTCTTTTCTAATATATTCATCAATGCTATGAATTTTCCTCAAAGTGTGGCTTTAGCTGCTTCCCAATGTTTTGATATGCCACATTTTAATTCTCATGGATATCATTTACAGTTTAAATGTTTGCCCCGTTAATGTGATCCATGGATCCAAACTGAATCCACGACTACATATATAATTTGATTCCTAAACATTCAGGTATTTTTAGTAATCTTTTTGCTATTGATTTCTAGTTTGGCTCTGTAATCAAAGAACATCTTCTGTCTAATTTAAACCCTCCAATTTGTCCATCCTTCCCATGTGGTCACTGTGGGATATTTGCTTTGCAGCCAGCACTGTGCTATTATAGAACCAAAATGATCATTGCTATTTTTCTGCATTTTCTTGAATTATTAGTACAATTTTTCATTTTGGGGAATATTTGGCTTTTGTCAGAAATTTTGAAGTTTTAAACAGTCTGCATTAGCATTTTAATCTTTTTAATTGTTATCTTTTATTTCATGTTTCAGAAAATTATTACCTGTCTTAACATCCTAAAGATATTCTAATACATTTTATTTTTTTAGGTTCCTACAACAGTGAAAGAACATACTGATCAAATAAGACACCGAGAGAACAGCCATAAGCCAGGAGTGGTCTAAGCAGACTGATAAATACTGTCACCCCTTCCCAGGAAAATTCTTTTTTAAAAAAAATCTCTTATATCACTCATCTGTCCAGATTGAATTGGGACCTTTTAATAACAACAGCTAACATTAATTACTGATTATATGTTAGGAATTATCCTAGATGCTCTATAGATATGTTTAATTTCATTCTCCCCCAAGTCCTGTGTGTAGGTGTGACTATCACCCCTGTTTACAATGAGGACAGTGTCATGGCGACCGTTCTGGATCTGGTAAGCAAATAGAAGCAGCACTTGAATTCAGGCAGCCTCTTCCAGGATCTGACTATCAGCCAGTACGGAATGCTGGGATTATTAATAGCACACAAAGGATTATATATTTGTTCTCTGCCTCTGGGATTTCTCTTGGTTTTGCTCCTCTTGTTTCATCTAGTGTCTCTTACTTCCATTCTTAGCTTTTGACCCGGTCCTGGCTGTTCGCCTAGGCCCTCTGAGTGGACAGCCCTGCTTTAATGACCCACCCAGCCCCCGTCTAACGCTGGCGCTCACTGCTGCTCTCTCCCCGGCTGCGAACTCCTGGCTGGCACTCCATCCAGGGTTCAGGGCTCAGTTTATTCTTGCCTGACGGAATATTGAAGGATGAATGTGCTCTTCTCTTCCTGTAACCCTGATAACAACTTGTGCCATATCCCGTGTCTCCCCTAAAGGCCCATTCCATTTGTTATCGCTTCATTTGATCAATCATTCTCTTTCTTTCTTCTTGAATTTGCCAGACATTTATCAGTGTGGAGCTGATGTGTTCTAAGCACTGGGCATATGAAGATGAATACGGTGTGTGCTTTGCCTTGAACGGTCATGACCCAGCTGAGCGGACAGGAGTGTAAACAGACTGATGATAACCAGGGAGAAAGCACTGAATGAACTATTCTGCATCCTTTCACAAAGGAGGCGACGGATGTGCTGAGTCTTCAAAGATAGGTTTTCAGGTGCATGATGAAGAGGTGCCCGGAATTAGGGCTTAAACGAGAATGCTGCATCTCCCTATAGTCTTTCAACATTGAATGGAATTCGCTAGCAGGAAAGAGCTTCAGCGATCTTGGGAGGATTTATGATCTCAGAAAAATCACAGAAAATAAGATGTTTATTATGTTAAAATCTTTCATTTGGGTCTTCCTTTTCCTTACTCATTCCCTCCTTTTCTTTTCCATGTTTCCCAGGGCGGTTTTGGCAGCCACAAAGCTGGTGACCGTTGGTCTGTAGCCTCACGTTTCCAACACAGAACACCAGAGAAGCCCACTGCCCAGTGACCCCCCAAGAGGCCACAGTGCCCTGTGAGTGGGGGTGAGCGTTCAGGCCCAGGCCCCATGATGTAACCCTGATAACAACTTGTGCCATATCCCGTGTCTCCCCTAAAGGCCCATTCCATTTGTTATCGCTTCATTTGATCAATCATTCTCTTTCTTTCTTCTTGAATTTGCCAGACATTTATCAGTGTGGAGCTGATGTGTTCTAAGCACTGGGCATATGAAGATGAATACGGTGTGTGCTTTGCCTTGAACGGTCATGACCCAGCTGAGCGGACAGGAGTGTAAACAGACTGATGATAACCAGGGAGAAAGCACTGAATGAACTATTCTGCATCCTTTCACAAAGGAGGCGACGGATGTGCTGAGTCTTCAAAGATAGGTTTTCAGGTGCATGATGAAGAGGTGCCCGGAATTAGGGCTTAAACGAGAATGCTGCATCTCCCTATAGTCTTTCAACATTGAATGGAATTCGCTAGCAGGAAAGAGCTTCAGCGATCTTGGGAGGATTTATGATCTCAGAAAAATCACAGAAAATAAGATGTTTATTATGTTAAAATCTTTCATTTGGGTCTTCCTTTTCCTTACTCATTCCCTCCTTTTCTTTTCCATGATTCCCAGGGCGGTTTTGGCAGCCACAAAGCTGGTGACCGTTGGTCTGTAGCCTCACGTTTCCAACACAGAACACCAGAGAAGCCCACTGCCCAGTGACCCCCCAAGAGGCCACAGTGCCCTGTGAGTGGGGGTGAGCGTTCAGGCCCAGGCCCCATGGGCAGCATCTGCCACCAGCGCAGAGCAACTCAGGGAGCCCCTGGAAGCATGTTTCTCTTCTGTCACGTTCTGGGGGCGTATCCTGGTACACTACCAAAGCATTAATGAGAGCAATTCTTTTAGAAAACTAAATTACTTTATCAAGGTTGAAAACAAGCCAGTGTCCAGGCCGTTTTTGTCAGTGCGCACCTCTTCCATAGAAAAACGGCATCAAGAGTAACTGCAGATTCTTAAAATTTTATCCTTAATTATATGTAGTTAACCTATATGATATGGCCTAGTCAAAATATTGCAAATATTTTTCATTCACCATAAAGTTGTTTATGACCTTTTTGGGTTAAAGAGACTTTTAACTTCATATTTTTGAGACAGAGTCATCGCTACCAAAAAGGTCACATTTCTGCATATTACTAGCCTCTGTTGACCTTCATGAGGTTTGCAGCCCAGGGGTGTCTTTCCAGCTCCCCCAGAACTCATGGCGGTCGTAAGGGACCCCAAGTCACCCACCCTTTGCTCCATTTATTATTCTCTGAACTTGTTGGTTAACTTTTCAATCCCAAATGCAAAATGAAATGATTGTTTTTTTTATTCAAATACTTTACAAATGCATTCCTTTTTTTATAAGGTAGACAAATTAACAAGAAGAAAGAAAATGGAGAGCAGTCTCCTTTATCAAATTAAAAATGGCAAAACTATCTTTTAAAGAAAAGAACCTAGCAGTCACCTTTAAGTTCAGAGTTGTAGATAATTTTTTGGGTGGTTATGAGGGAATATGTTTAATCTGTAGTAGAAACAGTTGAATTAGATATTAAACAGCACTGCTGAATTATGTATTGTAAGAAAGGATAAAGTATTACTCATGTTACACTAAATTTTGTAGCAAAGGCAGTTTAAGAATAATTCTAGCCTGGGTCTACAAATTAAACTTTTTTTTTCAAAAACAGGGCCTGTCTACCCCTCCAAAAGAAAGAATAGTTTTACCTGGGATAATATAGAATATTCTATATTATTAGAATTGCTGAAAATAATAAAAGAGAAGAAAGAAAGAAAAAACTTAGAGCTCAGTCACGATAAATCCCCAACTCCAATGAATTCCAGTTTCAGAATGTCTTCTAAATATCTCAGATAGATAATTGTACAAACGCTGAGTTTTTAGCACACCTTGTGGTGGAAATTTTTAAGTATTCACCTCTGATTTCTGAATATTACTTATTTAGAAATTTTATAGATTTTCAATGTACTCAAATATAACAAAACATTCACAAAACCTAAAAAATAAGTGAAGTAATCTCTTTTACTCTATTTGCAAATGATTCCAAACATTTTAATTTTCCTTGAAATTTGATTAACATGTAAACTTAAATATCAAAACTGCTTTGTTTTCATGAAGGTATATAAGAATATTTTCATATGTGAAAAATATGAAAGTTTCACTATTGTCAAAAAATTTTATGATAAATCAATTCTGATTCTTGGTGGTAACAGCTGTCATAACTGAAAAATATATGCTGTACTGATGTATAGGTCCAACAGCAGAAACTGTGCTTATTAAATTATGGTCCTAAGTTTCATCCACCAGTTGAGCAAAGGCTTTTGCTGAAATTTATCCGTTAAATTCCTTCCATCCCTAAAGTCCATGACTAGTTGTTGCACAATAATTAGGAAGATTTACAGTCTGGTATTTTTAAATATGAATTTAAAGCACAGAAATTGTGTGGGAAAATCTAAGTTTAGAAAATGATGCTTATACATTTTTCACAATGCCCTATCCTGTGTGGCAAAGTAAAGCACAAAAACCAGAAACATTTCATCCACTCACTTTCATAGTGCAGAGAATCAGCATGTGGGTTGTTGAACCCCTGCGTGGTGAGGCTGTCAGAGGTCTTCAGGACGCAGCCGCCTCCTGGCGGAGACAGAACTCCAGGCCCAATTCTTCTATGAAATAATAGTGTCACACTTCTTTCTTATTTACAAATGGAACGTTCTCGTGTTTCCTTTACCTTAGTGGGCTGCCTGGAGTGTCCCCTGCGTAGGCGTACCCCAATGGATAGACCTCTAGACTGCATGTGAGTCATGGGGCACTGACTAAATGAATCATACTTTGGGGGTACAATTCTGTTTAAATAGCAAATTTCTTCTTCTCCTGATTCAATATCTCCCATCTCTTAAACTCTACTCTTTGGTCTTGGTTCGATTTACTGGAAATGGTGAAACCACATCTAGACTGCGTATGCCAGGGTCAGATGCCACTTTAAAAATCATACAGTCAGTTTCCATTCAGTTAAGGTATCGTGTTGCCAGATTTAGAATGAAAACACAGGGCACCCCATTAAATTTGAATTTTGAATAAAATGTATTTTGAAGTATATGAATATGTCCTAACTATTTGCAAATGATCAGTGCCTTTATTTTATCTGGTGGCCTTATGCAGGTGACCAGTCTGCAAGGCTTCCGACCTGTGGGTAGCCGGTGTCTCCCTTCTCTAAACAGAAATATTTCTTGGTATATAGGGGAATAGTTGCTTATAAATCAAGGGTATGTGTATGTAAACATCAAAATTGGCTAAAGTGACATTTTAACTTTTTTCTTGCTCTTTGTTATCAAGTGTTTATCTAGTATCCTGACATGGTAGGTCCTCAGAAGCTTTGTGGACTGGGAGCGAAGATAATATGAAAAGTGGATTCAGATCCCGAAGGTCCAGACCTCACATGTCACCAAAGAGGAAGATGAGCTATTGTTTGAGTTGATTATGGGCACAAGACAGTGGTGGCTAAGCCGGACACACAGCATGTGCTTCTGGCCTTCTGGCCGGAGAAAGTCCGCCTCACTGAGCATGGAACAGTCTGTAAGCTCCTGAGTGGATCTAGCTGTCCGTCCAGGACCTCTGCAGCCCCACAGCTGGCTGCCCAGGACTCTGTTTGCTTGCATTCACTCTCAAAGTGGCCCCCGAATGCACCTGTCCACTCGATGCACAGGGAGAAACTCACCTTCAAGAGGCATTCTCGGCCTGTCATGGGGACGGCATACTGCCGTCCTAAGTCGTGAATGTGAGTTGGGGGAAGAAGAAAACCTCCTCTAAACTGAAATCATCATTGCAGCACAGCTACATATTCTATGTGACAGATTTGGAGACTAACAGAAATGGGCTATGGAGGCATGTTAAAACGTTATGACCCCAATAAAAATGTCCCATAGTTATCAGCATAATAAAGCCAGGACACCAGGGGAGAACCCTCCTGAAATCAGCCAGTGAGAAGAAACATAACCAGAGGTTCAGTTTTGCAAACAAAGCAGGCTCTGGAATCACAGTAGCCAACCCAGGCGGGAGATGGGGGCAGGGACAGATTCATGGTCCTGTGGCCTGTGCAGCTGCACAAAACCCAGGTCTTGGAAAGGCTCCAGGCTTGGTTTAATGCTCTACTGTTCTTGACTTGAAAATCCTAACGATTCGGATAAGGGGACCCCACATGTCCATTTATTTTGCAGTGGGTCCAGGAAATCATGTAACCTGTCCTGTGTGGAGGGGATCATGTGGTCAGAGCTGTGGTTCACGGTCAGAGAGCAGAGTTTTCCCATGCACTAGGTCTGCTCCGAGACTGCTCTGTGCACACACAGTTTCCCTCATCCAGTGGGAGAACCACATGCACATTAATATCCAAGTCAGATCTAAGCTCTGGCGCCTCGTTATCTCTTCTTCCAATCCAGTTGTCACTAGACCTGTAGTTTCTATCTCCTACTATATTGAAATCTATTCCCTCCTCTCTGTTTCCCCTGCTAATGGTTTCCTTCATCTTAGAAGAGATCAACAAAATTAAGACCTGGGCTTTTGAAAAGATATATAAAATTGAGAAACCTTTAGCTAAGTTTACCATAAAAAAAGAGAACTCAAAATTATAACTGAAAAGGAGAATCATTACAACTGATAACATAGAAATACAAATGATGAAAGAGACTATGAACAATTACATGCCAGCAAATTGGACAACCTTGGACAAATGGATAAATTCCCAGAAACATGCAACCTACTAAGGCTGAATACTGAAGAAAGAGAAAATTTGAATTGACCTGTAACTAGTAAGGATATTGAATCAATTATCAAAAATCTGCCAATAGAGAAAAAAAGTCCAGGACCAGATGGTTTCATGTGTGACTTCTACCAAATATTTAAAGAATTAATGCCAAGCCTCCTCAAACTCTTCCAAAAAATTCCCAAGCTCATTTTGTGAGGCCAGCATTACCCTGATACCAAAGCCAGAGACGGATACTACAAGAAAATAAAACTATTTTTACATCGTGCCTCATACATACAGATGTAAAAATTCTGTATGAAATACGAGCAAACTAAATTCAACAGCAAATTAAAAGGATCAGACATCATGATCAAAGTTTATTCCTTCGATGCAAGAATGTTTCAACATATACAAAGCAATAAATGTGATATACCACATTAATGTAATAAAGATAAAAATCATATGATCAGCTCAGTAGGTAAAGAAAAATCTTTTGACAAAATTCAACATCTTTCCATGATAAAAACTCTCAGTAAGTGGTATAGAAGGAATATATCTCAACATAATCAAGTCCATTTATTATACAAGCCCACATACATAGTTAGAATCATATTCAACAGTGAAAGATTGAAAGCTTTGAAAGCTTTTGCTCTAAGATCAGGAATAAGACAAGGTGCCTATTCCCATCACTCTTGTTTAACACAGCACTGGAAGTCCTAACCAGAGAAATGAAGCAAGAAAGAGAAGCAAAATGCATCCAAGTTAGAAGGAAGAAGTAAAACTGTCTCCGTTTGCTAATGACATGATCTGGCACATACAAAATTCTGAAGACTCCACCTGTTTTATAAAAACTGCAACAACTAATAAACACACTTCGTAAAGTTTCAGAATACAAAATCAACATTAAAAAATCAGTGGGCTCACTGAAAAAGAAATAAAGAAAACAATGCCATTCAGAATAGCATAAAAAAGATAAAAATAATTAGCAATTTAGCCAAAAAAGTGAAAAATCCATATTTTGCAAACTGTAAGATACTGATGAAAGAAACGGAAGAAGATATAAATTAACAGAAAGACATCCCATGGTTGTGGATTGGGAATGTTAATATTGTTAAAATGTCTGTATTGCCCAAAACCATCTATAGATCCAATGCAATTCCTATCAGAATTCCAATGGGATTTTCATAGAAACAGAAAAAACATCCTAAAGTTCATATTGAACCAAAAAAGATCCCAAATAGCCAAAGAAATATTGAGAAAGAACAGAACTAGAGGCATTGCATCTCCCGATTTCAAACTACATTGCAAAGCTAGACTGATCAAGCAGACACATGGGCCTCTTGAACAGAGTGGGGAACTCAGAAATGAACCCACACATCTGTGGACAACTGATACTAGAGAGACAAGAAAACTCGACGGAGGAAGGATAGTCCCTTCAATAAGAGGTGATGGGAAAAGTACATGTTCACATGAGAACGAATGAAATTGGACCCCCAAGGTTACACCACTCACAAAAACTTACTCAGCATTGGTTAAGAACTTAAATTAAGACTTTGAAACCATAAAATTCCTAGGAGAAAACAAGGAAAATCTCTATGACATAAGTCTTGGCAATTATTTTTTTGGATATGACACCAAAAGCAAGCTAACAATCTCTGTACAGCAACAGAAATAATCAATAAATGAAAAGACAACCTATGGAAAGGGAGAAAATATTTGTGATTTATATATCTGATAGTGTTAATATCCAAAATATATAAGCAATTCAAACAGTCAATAGCAAAACAACTAAACAGAAAATAGGATTTTAAAAATGGGTAAAGGGCCTGAATAAACATTTTCCCAAAGAAGGCAAACAAATGGCTGATTAAAATGTGAAAAATTGTTCAACCTCATTTATCATCAGGGAAATGCAAATCAAAACCACACTGATTAATCACCTCACAATTGTTAGAATGCCTGTTATACAATGACAAGAGATAAGCCTTGGTGAAGATATAGAGAAAAAGGAACCCTTGTGCATATTGGTAAGAGCAAAAATCGGAGCAGCCACTATGTGAAACAGCATGGAGGGTCTCCAGAAAATTAAGAATAGAACCAGCATATGACCCAACAATACAACTTCAGGTTTTATATCCAAAGGAAATGAAATCTCTATTCAAAGAATGTCTGCACTTCCATGTTCATTTCAGCAGCATTTGCAGTTGCCAAGATATGGAAACACCCTGTGTCTATCAATAGATGAATAGATATAGAAAGTGTGGTACATACAAAGGAATATTATTCAGCCATAAAAAAGAGGTGAAGGCTGTATTAACTAACACCATTGTAATAAGCATTTCTTGATATATAAGTGTATCAAATCATCACATTGTGTACCATAAATTTACACAGTTACGTCTCAATTATATCATAATGAATCCAGAAAAATGTGTATTAGGCTTCTTGAAGTCATTCCACATTCATAGATGCTATTTTTATTTTTTTAAATTACCTTTCACTGTGTGCTTCATTTTGGATAGCTTTCATTGGCCTGTGTTCTAGTTCATTAATGCCTAATCATCAGCTTACCATATCCAGTAAATTTCTATTGCACACAATAGAGTTTTCATCTCTGCACATTTGACTAGGGTCTTTTAAAATATAATCTGTATCTCTACTAAACTTTTTGAATGAATGGAATGCAATTTAATAACTATTTTAATGCTTTTGCCTGCTAATTCTATCATCTACATTAGTTCTGCATCGTGTTTTTCTTAGTATGCCATCTCTACTTTTATTTATTTATTTATTAAGGTATCATTGATATACAAACTTACAGATGTTTCACATGAGCAACGTTGTGGTTGCAACATTCACCCATATTATCAAGTCCCCCCGACACCCCACTGCAGTCACTGCCCATCAGCGTACTAAGATGCCACAGAGTCACTACTTGTCTTCTCTGTGCTGTACTGCCTTCCCCGTGACCCATCTACAGTATGTGTGCTAATTATAATGCCCCTTAATCTCCTCTCCCTCCCTCCCCCACCCCTCCCCTTTGGTAACCACTAGGCCCTTCTTGGAGTCTGTGAGTCTGCTGCTGTTTGGTTCCTTCAGTTTTGCTTTCTTTTGCTCCACAGATGAGTGAAATCATCTGATACTTGTCTTTCCCCGCCTGGCTAATTTCACTGAGCATAATACCCTCCAGCTCCATCCATGTTGTTGCAAATGGTAGGATTTGTTTTCTTCTTATGGCTGAATAATATTCCATTGTGTATATGTACCACCTCTTCCTTATCCATTCATCTACTGATGAACACTTAAGTAGTTTTCATTGACTAACTTTTATTCTCATCATCAGCTGTATTTTTCTGCATTTTGTATATATAGTAAACTTCAGTTCAGTGCCAGACACTGAATTTGTCTTGTTGGTGCTGGGTATTTTTATTTCTGCAGCTTACTGAGATTTGTTCTAAGATTCAGTTTCTTAGAAATAATTTTGTATGTTTGAGTCTTGCTTTTCAGATTTGTTAGTTGGGACCAGACTAGTATTTAGTCTAGGGCTGATCATTCTTTTCAAGAAAAGGATCTTTTCTGCACACTCCAGGATGGCTGGTCCTGACCTGGAGATCTGAATTCTTGAGCTAGGGGGTGAGCTTCCTTAAGGAGAGTTTTTGTCTGGATAGGGTAGGTTATGCAGTGCAAACCTATGCCTCAGCATCTCAGAAACAAGGTTCAATTTCTTGCTCATACTGCGTGGGTGGCTGGGGATCCATTTCTCTCTGCCCTTTGTAGCCACTCAGAGACCCACATGGATGGCCCCCAGCATCTGGGCAGGGAGGAGGTGACCTGGTGAAGCACACGCTGGCCCTTAACGCTGCCTCCCAGAGGCCACACATCCCTTGCACTCGTTTTATGGGCACAACTGTGTATGATGGTGGAACTCTTCAGGCTTGAGTAGAGAACAACAAAACCGCATCGTTACACAGATGGTGGTTCTCAGGGTTCATGGCTGGGTTACTGGGCCGTGGTTAGAAACATAGCTGCCGATATCTGGGGCTCTAACAGCTACAGGCTCAATGATCCGAGACCAGAAACACAGGTCAGGAAAGCACTCCGAGAGGGAGAACCCCAAGTGGGACTGAGCTGGGATAAGTTCAAATGCCTGAACTAGGACAAAATAGACGAAAGAGCAGATAGAGCCTCCCAAGGGTGTCTGGAAGCTTCCTGTGCTCATCTCCTCCTCCACCTGATATTTATTCAAATGTTAATTCCAGTGGACGAAGAAGGTCTAGGTAGTCAGAGCCCCTCATATTCAAGTCCAGATCCGGACTTCAAAGAACTTTAAACCAATTCTGACACTTTCCAAACGGTTTCATCATATTGTAAAAATGGACATTTTATTTGACTGTAAATTTTATTTCCACCAGAAATTATTTATCAAGACAGTTATATTTCAGCATCTCCTAATGTTCTCATAATGTGGTTATTGTTCTAGCAATGGAGTGATGAGTATTTATGGAGAATTTTCTCTGTTAGACGTTTGATATGAATTATACCACTTGATCCTTGCATAAAGCCTGTGAATTCATCTTGAGCAGTTTGATGCTCAGAGGCCGCTCACCAACTACATACCACACTCCAGGCCCTGCACATTCCCTCTTTACGTGGCTTATTTCATTTACTTTCACAGCAACCTTAGACAGCTAGGTGACTACACACAGGTGAAGGCACAGAGGCACACCACTGCTTTTCCAGAAGTTACTAAGTTAAAACATAGTGGAGTGGCATTTTAGGTTAAGTTTGTCCATTTGGTAAACCCTATTATTTACTTCAAGCTTCCTTGTTTATTGGGAAAAGATATTAAACTAAGAATAACTAAAAGCAATCCAGTTCACCTCATCCTGTGCTGTCTGGTAAGAGCTCAGTCAGGCTGGGCACCTGCCGCATTATCCACGACTTAGCTGCTGTCCACTTATTTTCTTGCTTCAGTGGCCACTTGGATGGTCTGCTCTCTATCAGCAAGAGTTTATTTGTAACAGAAACCCCTACCAACTGTCATTTTAAACATGAAGGTATTTATTGCTTTCTTAACAAGAAGTCTGGAAGAGGTGATTTCAACTTTGATCCATCAAAATCCTGGGTTGGTAGCTTATAATTCTGCAGGGTTTCTTAAGGC